GGGGATTCGAACCCGCCACCTTAGGTGTATGTGGCTGGCGCCTTAGCCACTTGAGCCACAGGCACCGAGCCTTAAGTTTCTTTTTCATCCTACTGTGCAAAGAGCCTAGGACACAGAAGTTACTCACAAATAGTTCCTTGTACCTCATTGACTCAGGTACCTATACAGTTGTTTGTATTTAGAATTTTCTGTAAAACTAATGAATACTTTCTATACTTATCTTTGTATATCCAAGACTTAGCACAGAGCTTGTTATATGAAAAGTAGTGAATAAATTCTCACTGGCTTGATTACAATAAACGAGTGGCAGACTTTTACACCCCAACCTTCAGTTCCTTGAAGTCAGAGTGCAATAAAATCCATTCACCTGCCCATCCTAGAAAACCTTTGTTTTCTTTTCATTTTTTTGAGACAGAGTCTTATTGCTTAATCCCAGGAGTTGGAGGTTGCTGTGAGCTGTTATGCCATGGCACTCTACCTAGGGCAACAGCTTGAGGCTCTGTCTCAAAAAAAAAAGAGAGACAGTCTTACTATGTCACCCTTGGTAGAGTACAGTGGTGTCACAGCTCACAGCAACCTCAAACTCTTAGGTTTAAGAGATTCTCTTGCCTCAGGCTCCCAAGTAGCTGGGACTACAGGCACCCACCACAAAGCCCAGCTATTTTTTTGTTGCAGTTGTCATTGTTGTTTAGCAGGCCCGGGCCAGGTTCGAACCCACCTGCCTCAGTGTATGTGGCTGGTGCTCTAACCATTGAGCAGCGGGCACCAAGCCCTAGAAAACTATTTTTACCTTTTCCTTTCTCCTGAAGGTCCCAACACATCCTCCCATCCCTCACCGTCAGCTGAAGATCTTGCTTCCAACCACACTAAGAAAATGGAAGCAATCAGACCAGAACTTCAGATTCTCACTACCCCACGTATCCCCCTTACCAGCACATACAAAGACATATGCCACTTTCCTGTCTATTAGTATAAATGATCTTTTGGACTCCTTTCTAAAGTTAATTCCTCCATTTATAAGTTAGATTGTTCCCTTCTTATCTGCCAAAGTACATCACTTCAACTATTCTCTCCTTTTCTAGGTCAGTGTTTTTGTTCTATATTGGACCATTCATATCAGCATACAATTAAGCTATTATTTCTCCTATCTTAAAAAACAAAACAAAAAGCCTCTTTTAATCCCATGTCCTCAATGACCTTCTTTTTCTTTGCTTCTCTTTGCAGCAAAATTCTTTGTAAGAATTGCCTATATTCCTTTTTTTTTTTTTT